TTATCACCTGAATCTCCTCCTAGAGCACCATTGAGTTCTTTTTAACCAAATATCTCTGAGGGGAGGGGCTCCTTATTTTTCATCTAAAGTAACAGACAGAGAATCAGCACTTTGGAAACAGGGCTGAAACAGAGGGGATTATGGGTAATGCTGCAATGATCTGTTTGGTGTTTCAGCCAATCAGAGACATGTTCTGTATATATCTGAGACCTGTAATATATTGATGAAAAACAGTATAATAGGGGACCTTTAACTCAATAAAAAAATATTCAAACTAAAGTTAAATGCTCCAACTATGTATTTGTTTTATATGTAGCTACATACTTCTGAGACATTATACCTGGCCCAAAGAAAAACTGAAATTAGACTAATCTAAAAAATGTTAGCTGAAAAGATACAAAATTAAAATGAAATCGAAGCAGTCCTAATTCAAATAATAAATATCATACAGTCATTTATACAGAGTATCTACACCTTCTTAAACATCAAATTCAATGACATTCAGCCACAATTCACTAAGTAATATTACAACACTTGGATTTCTATAAAATGGTAAGTAGCAGGCTTTAAAAGAATCTCACAAAAAGATATCAATTTCCTTTAAAAAAAATATATAAACGAAAGTGCTTTTAACTCCCATGGTCAATTTATGTGATTTTCCAAAACAATAAGACTGACTTTCTCCCCGCTAAAATCCAAACACTTCCAATGACCCATATTCGCTGTGTTTATACATCAATTCGTTCTTAACCACCCTCACCTCCTCTGAATCGGGGTACAAAGTGACGGTGATGCTGGGGGGGTCACTCTGAGGTCGTCGTCGTGGTAACCTCTGGTAGAGCTCCTCGCCGACGAAGGGCATGATGGGAGACAGGAGCCGCAGACCGACGTCCAGACAGGTGTAGAGCGTCTGTCTGCACACCAGCGCCTGCCTCTGGCTGCTGCTGTCCTCCTCCGCTCTGCTCAGCACCGGCTTCACACTCTCCTGCAGCACAGACAGAGAGGGAGGGGGCACATCTGTCGTGTCAAATGATCATATAATCATTTAAAACATATAGTCTTATAATCTGATTGCCTGTTAAATTGTATTTTTAGTCCTGTATGTGTTTGACAGAGACATATTGTTAGAGCCAGTATTTTGTTACACCTAATTGTGACGTCTGTAGTCAACACACTATAAAAGACTACAATTCCCACGGCACCTGCTAAAAAGTGACAGTGATGGGCGACCTGCTAGAAAGACATTTGTTTGTTATTTTATTTGAGTTTTGCCTATTTGTTTTGACTATTGTAAAGGCCTCTTTTCTTTGTTGCATGTGTAAAAGTTATTTTATTTTGAGCAAACACATCGCATAACATCATCTAACCATCGGAGGCCAAGCAACTCTTCAACTGTAATTAATGTAAAGGAAAGATGTCTGTTTAAGGCGTCTAGTGGCTTGAAAGAAAAGCAAGGAAGGAAGCCACGACACATGTTAATGATTTACATTTCAGGAGGGCAAAGGAAGTGTAAAAGGGGGATTTGGGTTTTATGGTTTAATGGTGGGGATGTTTGGATCATGCTTAAGAGAATTGATGGGTGGGACCAGTTCTTTGCTCTCCATCAGAGTGTGACTGTAAGCTGTGTTCTGGGTGCAAAGCCATTTTATCCTGAGAGGGTGAAGCTGCTCTGTTCCTGCATTTGAGATCGATTTCACTTGTATATTGATTTTCTTTATTACTTTATTAAATATAACAAAAGAAAAACTTTGTCCATGAATCATTTATCTGTTTTTCTCTTAAGAATTTCCTCCACATGATTCGGTGACATTTGAGATGAATGTCACAGGGTTTCTCACCAGGTAGACGTCACAGAGCTCGTACAGCCAGAAGTTGTAGATGGCGGTGGTGATGGCGGGGAACTCGTAGGCCTTGAAGCCGGCATCGCAGAGAGCGACAGCAGCACTGAGGCGAGACAAAATCCACCGGTCTGACACACTCTCCTCTCCACACAGCTGAGGAGGTCGAGGAAAGGACAACACAGAGGGAAGGATTCAGGGGTTACCTCCCAAATATCAACAGTTCATGAATACAAAGCATGACGGTAAGAGAAACCCCCAGACACAGAGAGTTAACATTTACTTGGTCAAAATGTGTCAGTAGCTGAATATGAATAGGTTTGGATGAGTGTTTGTTTATGTTCTCCGTGTCCTTGATCTTCTCACCAGGGCTTTCTCTGACGGCACAAAGTTTTCTCCGAGCGTCTTCATGGCAAACTTCACAGCGTTCCACAGTTTGTTGCAGAAGTGACGGTAGCCCAGGATACGGTTGACATCCAGGTTGATATCCCTACCTGAGAGACACACAAACACAAAAAGGATTAAAGGATGACTTCTGTGTATATTTTGTAACAGCTGACCTTGTACCCACTGTTTATTCACTGTTTTGATAAACTTGATGTAGTCAAGGCTGAGCTCCGGCACACCACGGGAGAAAGTGAGAAAGAGAAAGTTGAGTTAACCTTGGCTGGTGTAGGCGCACAGGGCGAAGCGCAGAGCGTCCGTGCCGCACTCTGGGATGCCGTTAGGGTAGTCCGACGTCTGGCCCTGCTTCGCCTTCGCCACCTCCACCGGGTCCAAGTTGCTGTCCGTAAACAGGGCATGGAGACCCTAGAGGGGGTGAGGAATAAGTGAGGATGTGACGTGCAGCGGTTCCCAACCTTTTCAACTCAGGGCCCACTTAAGAATCTAAAAAATGTCGCGGCCCACATTTAACCATAAACATTACGGAGGCTAAATAAAGTTCTGATTGGTCAATTCAGAACATGTGACACGTTGTTAATCCAGGAGAACAGACCGCTGTCAAGGACTGTAATGACCGTTGCTCAGGAGGATCGAGAAAGAGAAAGGAGGTTCAAATAAAAAAAAATCTTAATAATGAAAATGTTTCCAAACAAATCAGAATGTTTTGCTAATTATTTGGCGGCCCACAGGTTGGGAACGACTGCTGTACTGTGTTATACAGGTTTTAGTGCATGTAAAAGGTCTGCAAAGGCTAAAATCCCAGCGTTCCTTCCATTGGGAATTTCTCTCCCACACACTCCCCCCCCCTGTCTCCATTGAACTCCTTTGTTTACTTCCGTAGCCTAGTGACAAGACTATATAAAACTTGTGCTTCTATTGGCTAGCACTCCAACACATTGTAAGGCTAAGGGGCGGGACTTCTCTAAGCGGTAGACCAATCCCAACAGAGCCGGCCAGCTAACCAATCAGAGTAGACTGGGCTTCATATAATTATCATCTTAACGTTTTGAGAATTAATATTGAGTAACATACGCCTTTTTTAAGAGTTAGAAACAGAGCATCTATAAAATACATGCATGTCATAAAACACCCCCTGGATTAGATACCCACTATCAAACACTGAAACGAAAGACAGGGGATTTTTTTTAAAGAGGCAAACTTAATAACCTCATGGACCCACATCACATCATCCTAAACCTAAAAACATCTGTTTCTCAACGATCGTAATAATTCAGGATTTCTTAAAGGTTGCAAAAACCTCTATTTCCAACATTTCCATTACATAAATCAACTGGCGGCCCACGGGCCACATCCGGCACGCGCGACAGGGGTGACTGTGGCGTTGGCGGAGTGGTTAGTGCGTTCGCCCCTCACTCATTTTAGTTTTTTATACAACGTCTCGTGAGTAATGTGCAGTACCGGAGTCCAACAGAGAGGCAGCAGCTGCGGGACAGTAGACTGCGTACTGCGTAGCCTTCCCTGCCCTGAAGAAGAAGTGATCCTTCGTTAGCGTGAAGAGTCTGCTTTATGCGCCCTGCACAGTGTTTCCGCCAGGGGGGCGTCTTGCCGTCATTTGACGCCCTGAACGCGAGCCGAGGGCGTCCAAAAATATTAATAATTCGAGAGAAGATCGAGAGTTTTTATCGCTTGAAATGACGAAAAGGACAAGGACATCCCGCTGTTGGATGGGCAAAGGAATCTGGTGGGAATATTTTCGGAGTATTGAAGATTGTTTCCCCGACATCGAAGGTGCCTGCTACAGGACAACATGGAACGTGCGCGATTTGGACGCGATGAGCGTTTTTTTTTTAGTGGAGCACGCGCGTGAGCTGCGAGCACCGGAGCCTCGCAGCGGCGAAACTGAGGTAACATGAAGAGCCGTTTGGGAGCCGAAAGAGCCGGCGCTTTAAGAGAGCAGAGCCAAATGATCCGGCTCACTAATGTAAATATACAGTAGGCCTATCTATAAGGGACGGCTCAAGTCAAAATTCAAAACAACCCCCCCCCCCCGCTCTCGGGGTGGACGCCCTCTCAGCCCCGGTCTGGCGGAAACACTGGCCCTGCAGCAGTAGCCCCGCTGCAAGGCTCCGGC